TGATGACATTTTAAAAGGTTGAGAAAACAACCTTCCACCTCTCAGCCACAGGGGAAAAAGAAGTTACTTGCAAAACCTGCAGTGCTAAGGAGCTGGCAGGATTTGTAAATGATTTGAAGTCGATATATGACAAATCATTACACTTGGAAATCAGCACTCTGCTCAGTGCAGAGAGAATGTTTAGCTCCTTAGCAAACCAATCTTTTTAGCTGTGGATGCTGTTCCACTGATGGACTATTTTTATAACAAGCTAAGTTAGTTGATGTCACTTTAGAGGTATCTTAAGGCATTATATCCTAGGTTTGCACACCAAAGAGTAGAACAGATACCTTAAAAATTTTCCTTTGAACACAAGTCTACAGCAGACCTTCATGCTGGTTTTGAAGCTGGGCTGCATCTCCCCCAGTTCTGCAGGGGAAGTGCTGGGCTTTGTTTTTCAGAGGTGCTGAATTTGCAGTGAGCTCAGAAACCAGCTCACCAGAATCCAACAATGCTGCAGAAAATCGACCACAAACAGGTCTGCAATGACAGCACACAGAGTGAAAATTAATATGTGTCCCGTAAATAATTGCCTTCATGCCTCATTGCAAATGCAGTAGTTAAACATTTCTGTCTTGTGAGTAATTTCCTATTCACAGTTTGTGGGAAGGCATAAATGTAAAGAAAACAGGTTTGGTGTCCTTTTGTCTTTTTTTGTTTTGTTTTGTTTTTCAATCTGCTAATTTCAATTCACAAACACCATGGGAACCTGCAATTCCAATTTTCTTTTCACAGTATTAATGAAAACTGGGCACTGAAAATAGTTAGATTTCTTTCCCTCTAAATCTTAAACCACTTAGAAATACAGTCAAGAATAATAACTTTCTAATCCATTATTACACAATGTAAAACTGCTCAATTGTTATTATTTCATGCAAAGATTTTCATAAGTGGTAGAAGAGGCTTTTAGAACTCAGTTTCTTCTAAGCTGGTCTTTGAGGCAGTACAAAAATGCTGGTTGTGTGCTGTTGAGAGGAAGAGCTGTGCATCAGAGAAGTTGTTTTAAGAAGGAATTCTTGCACCACAAGATGACAATCATTTCCTCTCACTGTTATGGCAAGGTTTGAGCATATTTACTGCCTTTATGATTTTGTATTGTTCCTAATCAAACCAACCTCAAGTTGTTGTTTTAATAAATAGATAGTTTCAGGGTTTGGGCTTTGGGTATATTTTTGAGACAACTGTTTACTCTTAAAATCAGAGTAATATTTTATGTAATTTTATCTTAACATACTCCAATGAGGTATTTCAGTTCTCATTTACAGCAAGATGTCTAGGATGAAGTTAATATCTTTTTCATGCTGCAGACACTAAGAGTGACTGCAGCTGAGTAGCAGACAAGGTTACCTGCAGACACACCTCTGCTGATGTGCCAGGAGCCAATGGCTCTGCCTGGTCCAGCTACCAAGATGCTGGGATGAAAACTGCATCCAGTGTTTCCCAGAGAGCTGGGAAGCAAAGAGCACGATTTCTGTAAATTTATAATCTTCATTTGCTCTCCACTGACATCATCTGCCATCCCTTGCAATCGTTCCTGTCTTGCAGGGGAAAAAAATATAGGTAAATTCCCCTTGGAATTGACTCCAGTCTTAGTCAAACAAAGGTATTGCTTAAATAGAAGGCAGCTGTTTCAGCAATGTTAGGGATGTGGAATTATTTATTTATATAGATTTCAGAAGAAATTAAGGTTGGCTTTTTTCCAGTGGCCCTTTCCTCCCTGTCTCAGAATAGGACTCTTGCTGTGTTGTGTACTCCATTAGCTGTTCCTATATAATATGGTCACAGAGAAATCTATGTACTTTGTAAAACTTTTCTATTTCCTCCTCCTTCATTTGTCTGGAGAGGCCCTACTAGGTTAAAAGCATATTTTAATGTAAATGGAACAAAAATAGCAAGTCCTTTTCCTTGCTGAATTTCTCCTTTTCCAGATGTCCAAACAAATGCAACAACAGATGCTTTGAAATGTTATAAGTTTAAATAACATCAGTGTAGTTGGTTGAATATTTCTCAGGCAGATGGGTTAAATGAGACAATTGTGAAAACATTCTTAAAATAAAAGGAAGCCATCAGGTGAGAGGCAGGAATTTAGGTAACATTGAAAAATATACCTTAGATGTTTCTTTTAGGTTGCAATATTAGAATGTTTTCCTCTGAGCAAGCTGTTAACTGTCATTTAGTAGGCATTAATTGTAAAGTTAGTTGACAGTATTTGGCCCAAATGTATGTCTCTTAAAGAGGAAGAGCAGCTGTTAATCCACCAGGTATTGACAGTGTATTCAGTGGCTTCTATTATTTCTCAGACAGAAATTAATTTCCTGAAATCACATACAGTAAGATAAGACTCTGTCTCATTTTCACTCACTATGGAAATACTCAGTCTTTGTTCTGCACACAATGCATTGTCTCTTGTAAAACAGTAAATGACACCCTAGGTGTAAAAGAATTTCCATTTCTACAATAGCTACAATGAACAAACAGGATCTAAACCAGTCACTGACTACTTTGGAGCAGGGCACCTTTCTTAGTAGGGTGGCATCTGCCCTGAAATGACAAAAATATCTTAAAACCTTCAAGATCTCTTGTGTTGCCATAGAAAGTACCAACTGCACCAACTCATAACAAGTAAGAACTTTCAGAAGGATAAAAAAAGTTAAAATACTATTTGATATGTTTTTGTTGTTTTTTTTTTTTTTAATTTTACAGTTTTCCCTCTGTTCTTTCAGCTGAACAAAATGTCAGCTTCTTTAAACCTGTTTGAAATAACTGCCAGGAGGAAGTGTTTCAGCAGTAAGAACACAGATTCCCAATAAGTAAATGATGGGTAATACCAGAGTGGAGAAGGAACTTATTCTTTTGGGGAGTTGTGGCATTTTTGCTACGTTTTATTATTCATAGGCCAATTGTAGATGTCTGTAGCCAGTGGCTGCTTTCAATTCTGGTAGTCCAAACTTGTTGCAATTTTTTGGCCAGTATTGATATTTTGACTGGCATTACCTTTAATGTAGCATCCTTAAAATCATCCTCTTCCTATTATGCCTTTACAGTGCTTAAAAAAGTGACTATGGAGCATAGTGTGCTTTTGTGGACTTTGAGCAAGACACTTTTCTAACACACCTCAGAACAATGTTACCTGTAGGCACACCCCAATAAAGTTAACATCATGAATATATTGTAAAGCTACCATTTAGTACTTTAGTTAGCATCTGTATTTTACTGATTGAATTTTTAGCCATGCATAATGATGCATAAATGCAGTTTCTCCAAGCCAGCCTGGCTCTCCTGAGTTCAGCCAAGGCTGGCAGTGCTGAGGATACACAGCCTCCCAGAAGTTTGGAAATGCTGGTATAATCAGAGGAATACTGCAGAAACCCAGATAACTTCATTTCTGTCCATGACACTTGTTAGGCTAGAGAGGATCCATCTCAGCTATCATCACTCTAAGTGATTCTATCCAAAAATCTGCCTCCCCTCCTGCTGCAAAATTCAACAAAGAAAGGAGATCATGGAAAACACAAAAGCACTGTGTGTGCTGAGAGCATTTAAACTAAAAATTCCTCCTGGAATTAGGAGGAATTTTCATTCCTCATGGCTGTGCAAGGGGACAAAATATGCCAGACTACACAATAGTTCCTATGAAGAAGATTTTCCAGTGTGAAGACATAGGTCAGTTCTATTCATATCACAGCTGAAAAGACCAGAGTCTGGCCTCAGAGGTGGGTTCTTAGGAGGCTGAGTCCTTGCTCTGTGCAATTTGGGAGGTTTTCTTGGGGCAGAAAGCAATCCTTAAAGGAACATCTGATAATGGCATCAATGATGAAAAGACGGAATGGGGGAAGTGAGTGAAAAAGTTCTCTGAAGTGTAGCCATATCCAAGGAGGACTCCAAAGTAGAAAATAGGAGATAGGGTTGGATAGCTCTCTAAAAGCAATAAGAATAAATATAATTAATTTTAAAAAAGAAAACAAAATATTAGAAGGAAAGGAGAAACTGAAAAGCTTGGTGAGGGAAGTGTACAGGAGAGCTGAGGATACCTTATTTGTAGTGAATTTATTGGCTGCTATCAGCCATTTTAACTTTTTTTAACCCTCCATTCTGTCTTATTGTCAATGCCTTCTCAATAAATAGTATGGTGTCACTTTTTGTTCCCTACAGAAAGAGAGGGAGAGAGAAAGGGAGAGGGAAATCCTTTCCTCTGAGATGTTCATGTCCTGCATTTAAATTGTGGCACGTCTGTTATTTCAGATTATTTAGGCATTATTTGCTTAACAACACACTAGGACAAATTATACCCTTGAAGGCTAGAATGAGATGTTCTTTGCTGTCCTTTTACTTGTTTAAAAGCCTGAAAAAGGGATGGGCTGCAACCCTAACTGGTTTTGGACTAGTAGATGGGGAACACTGATGCCTTGTGAAGGCTGACCTAGAACAGAGACTGGATGGAGCTAAGGAATAGGGATTTATTAGAAGGCCTCAATAGATCCACCTTGGGCAGCACAACCCAAAATGGCCAAAAAAAAAAATATGGACCACACATCACAGGGTCTCACACTTTTATAAGTTTTGGTCCATTAGCATATTGAAGCTGATTGTCCAATTACAGCTTTAGGCCATGAAGTCCCATCTTTCTTGTTTTCTCTCTTCATTTCACCATTGTTTATGCTCTTGGGCATGAGATGTGGACAGGATGTCCTTGGGTCCCCAGCTAGAGAAGGAATGGTTTTGTCTCCCTGCTCTGTGAAGAGAGCTTACCATCCCCTAATATGAAGCCCAGACCCACACACTAGAGCACAACAGAATCTGAAAAATTAAAAACCTAAAACCTGAGGCATCAGCGCATCTCTAGGCTGTCCTGGCCCATGGGTGCGGCAAGAAGGACACGTGACGGTAGCAGCAGGCATGACTGACTCCTCCATGTCCAAACTCAAGGATAACCTCTCCTTTCTTTCCCTATCTACCCACAGCAAACCCCACCAGGGCAGGAGGAGGACGGGAGTACCCCGGCTCGTCCGAGGTGATCCGTGAATCCAGCAGCACGACGGGCATGGTGGTCGGGATCGTGGCGGCGGCGGCGCTGTGCATCCTCATCCTCCTGTATGCCATGTACAAGTACAGGAATCGAGACGAAGGCTCCTACCACGTGGACGAGAGTCGAAACTACATCAGTAACTCAGCACAATCCAACGGGGCTGTGATCAAGGAGAAGCAGCCCAACAGCGCTAAAAGTTCCAACAAAAACAAGAAAAATAAGGATAAGGAGTACTATGTCTGATCTCAACATCTAAAAGAACGCTTGTATAGAAATAGTCTTCATTTTATCTGAGACATAATACAAACTTATTTACTTTACTTTTTATGAAGCACATTCAAAAACAAACAAACAGAAAAGACAGGGAATGCAATCAGAAAGGAAAGACTGTTTTTAAAAACAAGCATTTCACGCTCTTGTTTTTCAGAAACAGGAGCTGATAAATTCCCTAACATCCACAGTGTTTTCATTTACTCTGCCTGTCTTTATGTTGCTGGAACGTTTCTGAAAGACAATGATGACACCACGCACTCATAAAGCAAGGAGTATTACTACAACATCGAGGCACAATATGAAAAAAAAATCAAATTTAAAAAAAAACAAAACAGGAAAAAAAAAAAAAGAAAAAAGAAGCTACCTATGATTCTGGATTTAGCCAAAGTGCTAGCGCTTTCTTGAGAAGTAAGTTAGTCTTATTGTCAGAGAAGACTGTCATTATATATGGTGACTCAACAAGCAAACATAAAGAGTTTGCCGTCTGGTGCAGTGAAGCAGTGATTGGAAACTTGCATTTTGAAACAAAGTGCTGGCTTTTCTGAAGACTTATGTAGAAATACTTTCAAAAAGCCCCTTTCTGGTTGTGAGGAAAATAGTATGGAGGCCTTATTTTCAAAAACAAAAACAAAAATCTGGAATATAAGGCACATTTCCACAAAAATATTTAAAAAAAAAAAAAAGAAAAAAAAAAGAAAAACAAGAGGGCATAGATGCAATCATTGGGAAATTTTCATGCACGCTTAATATGTTATTACATATGTTTATATAAAAACACATCTATATGTGCTTTCTGGACTGTGATAAGTGATGTTTTATAGCCTGTTGTATAGAAAATGCAAACTATATCTGCTCTTCAGCCATTTTTGGTAAACTCAATGTTATAAGTGTTGCTAGGTATAGAGAGTTTTATGACATCTGGAGCAACAGACATTCTTCAGTTTTTTTGCAGCCATTATAAATTGTCCCAGACTTTTTCCCCTTTTTTTTTTTGGTTTTTAATTTACAGTGTAGTGGTTATACAAAGGGGGATGTGTATGAATGTATATAAGAGTCAGCTAATTTTTTTCTTACCTGTACAGCTCTATTATGTTGCAATTAAGTTTCAGTAGTTTGTATGAAAGAAGTGGACTAGAAAGCAAAAATATATCTCTACTGTAATTTGTCTTCTCCCTCCTATCCCCATCTCTTGCTCCTGATATGCATCAATGAAGTTGATCAGAATGGCCAATTTTCCTAGAAATATACATTCATTAATTAGCTAAATATTTAGTGACTTAAACTGGCCTTTGGCTTCCAGTCAAAGCTTCACTATTGGAGAGCATGGTTTGCCTTACAGAAACCTTGTTCTTAGAAATTATGAGAATGATGAGTTTCTTGAGAATCTTAGGAAGTATCATATAGTGTTTATCTGGCATTCATATGAAGAACAGCTACTACAGCACTAGGTGGTAAAAGATCTAAAAATACCCATTGTAATTATCCAGGCTGATTCTATTGCAGAATTTATCCCTTTCTCCAAAAAGGAAATACTCTTGAGGTGCACGATAGTATTTTTCAATGGTGGGCATTTTGACATATGAAAAAGTATTTTTAGCTAAGTTGATTGTGTAGTATTGCAAGACATCATAACCAGACAGATATAAGTTCATTATGTTTTAAAGTGACACAGCTTATCTTGCATATATAAAACATTAATGCATTTTAGTTAAACACATGAAACGTAATGCTGTAATTTACACGTTAAGTTTGGAATTTTTTTCTAGTAATATTTCATTAGTTTCACAGCAATAAATCATAGCATAACATTTTATTTACACAGAAGTTCAAAGGGAATGCATTAGACAGAAAGAGGGTAGTTCAATAGAAATCAACCAAATCATCAGAAGGCCTCCTGGGAGGGATATAGATATTCACACTTTACAGACAGGAAGGAGAAATTTAAAATTAGCTTTAAACAGCAGACACAAAACATTTTGTTGCGTGTTACTCACTGTAGCTGATGAAATAAAGTTGGGAACTGGTACAGCTATCTATCTGGGAGTCAGAGCACTTTAAAAATACATGTAGCTGACATGGAAACACCTCTCTTGAAGTTTGCCAACCACATCAAGGTGTGACATGTTGCATTTGTGAAACGACTTTTTATTTTCATTAGCATTTACGCAAAAAACGAAGGGAAAAAAACCACTCACAAAAACCACAAAATCCATCTGATGTTCATTTCTTAGATCGTTGTTCACCTGTGGCACTCATCATTTCTCCCACCTTTACAAGACAGCTGTACTCAGGGAATGGCAGGGGCAAGGGTGACTGGAGATCATTGCTGGAAGCAAGAGACTCCAGCTGGAGGGGGGAAAGAAGTTGAAAGCCAGGTGGTGTTCAGATTTTAGTGCTTGAAGGTACCTAGAAGAACAAGAATAATCTGTTGACAGGAGACTGGGCATGACAGAATATGATTTGGGTGAGATGAAATGGTCTTTTCTGCTTGGTATTGATTGCATTAATGAAATAGCATTGTCAGGCCAATTTCCAGGCAGTTTGGTAGATCAATCTTTAACTAAATCCATACATCAAGGACAAAAAGAAAAAAAAAAGATCTCCTACTATTAAAATAAGAAAACACAATTTTAACACTGTTTCTGAAGGTTCTCCTTTTTCCTCTTTAATTTCATAATTTAACAAAAAAATAAAAATTATGGATGTATCAGAAATGCCAGCAAGTGGATTTAAATTTCTTTTTTTTTTAAAGCAGCAGCAACAACAAACAGACATAAACCAACTACCTAACATAAAATTGGATCCTTTCTCTATAATAACCTAATTTGTTTGACTGAGATGGCTTCATTTCTATGACTGTATTGTGTTGCCTTTTTTAACAAAACACTAAATAACGTGTGAAACTTTCAACCCTAAGACATCAAAGAGAGGCCCAATGCCCCTAACCTTATAGTGCTTTCTGTGATAGATATTTACAATTTTTTTATTTGTTGCAAGGCCAATTTATTCATTATTGGAAATGCTAAGCAAGTGGAATTTACTGTTTTGTTAATAAAAATGTTTCTTAATACAAATGCTGCCTTGTTTCTTGTCTTGTTCCTAGATTGTGAGTACCTCTTCATCCTGAGGCTGTGAAAAAAATTGGTAAATTGGTATCAAGTTACAAACATTAATGTCAGGAAAAAGTAACCTCAGAGCTCTTTATACATTTCAGTAAAAACCTTCAAGTCTTGTGTTCAACTGGCCCACTTAGAAAAGTATTAATAACATCAATTAATTGGTTTTTGCAGAGACTTGCTTAATTTGAAATTTTCTAGTATTTTTTTAATCAAAAAATTAAAACGTGATGTTCTCTTCCCCGTCTGTATGAAAAAAGAACTCTCCTTTTTGCCACTTTTTGATTTCTGTAGTGGAAATAAGGTGGAGGAGGGTAAGGTAATGGGATGAAAAGTTAAAACATTTGTTAAAAGTGAAAACATTTTCTCTTGTCTAGAAGATGATTTTAAAATTAATGGGAAAATGAATGTATTTCAGGTCCTTAAAAACATTTCTAGATAATAATTACAAAATTTCAACCGGAGCTAATTCATTACATAAGTGCTTTCCTACTTAGCATGGCATTTAAATTCATGGGCAACTTCAAGAAAACATCTAATCCTATTGATTTAAGCAAGTGTCTAAACTTGCCTAAATGTACTGCTGAATGGGGATGGAGTTAAGCTTTTTGGATCTAAGCTCCAAATAGAATTTAATTTTGTATCATCTTAAATCACATCAGCAGCTTTTAGACTTCAGTGAGGTTTATTCATCTGCTTAATTACGTATAGACTGAAGTATTTTAGATAATTGAAGCTCAGGAATATCTGGAGAAAAACAGTCCCTATCTTCCATTGGTATAAAACACTTTGAAAGTTCTAAAGTGCTTTATACTGAGATTAGGTCTTGTGAGTGTACTTAAATAAATACTGAATATTCCATTTAGGAAAATGCTTTATACACATTTGATGGAGCTATAACAATAGTGATTTTTGTCCTACTACTACTACTACAAAGAAAACCCCCAATCAAAACCAAAAACAATTCACATTTTATTATTTTTGTTCTACGATGTAGCTGTTGCTTTTTTTTTTTAACATCTATACTGTGTATAATGTTCCTTTTTTACATCTATACTGTGTATACTATTCCCTTTTACCAAAATCCTAATGGCCTCTCACTGCCTACATTATTCATTATCTGGCCACCATAAGTGGTGGCCTCCATCATCAGTTACCACTGTGGTCAAGAAGTTAAAAAGGTTTTACAAGATGATGAAAAAAGAGAAAAAAACTAAACAACACCCCCAAATGTGACTTAGAATAAGGCAAATAAAGCTCACATAGGCTGTAAATGGCAACTGTGTTTGTTAATTCCTCCTATGTGACTTCTTTAGAGTTCAATGAAGCAGTTTTAAATTGGGGTTCTGGATCTCATTTTCCTTTTGATTATAGAAGTTTGCTTTTAAGTACAGTATAGGCCTGTTCAGAGGTTCTTAAAACTATTTTGCTGGGTCAGGCACTCTTGTCAGTATAATTTTATTTGAAATGCAGGCTATTTGGTTTATTTTAAACCCCCCACTTTTAAAAATCCATAAGTATTTCAATGTTAAAATGTTTCTGGCTCTCGTGGGAATGGAAAGAAAGAGAAGTCCACGCTGCATTTAATTCAATTTATAAATTGATAAATGCTTGGGAATAATAAAACTGCTTGCCTGCCAGCTTCTGATTCATCTGGATGGACTGCAAGTGATTTGGTTGGTCACTGCTCTTCATGAAACCAGAAGCATCCCCCACGGGTTAAGCTTTGAAACAGAAATTCCAGAAAAGATAGACATGAGCTCAATTTCATCAGACACAGGGCCAGAATTCAACCAGTCCTTTACCCATTTACTTTGGAGGTTCCTTCCTACTGGAGGTCTTTGACAGACTTCAGCCACCAACTCTAACTTCTGTCAGAGAAAGTCTGGCCCCTTGCTTTTTTTCTTAGTCCCTTGCCGCTACACCAATATCTTAATTTCACAAAATCACAGAATCAGCTGTGTTGGAAGGGACCCATCAGGATCATCCAGTCCTGCTCCCAGCCCTGCACAGGACACCCCAAGAGTTACAAGTGCCTGAGACTGTTGTCCAAATGCTTCTTCAACTCTGTCAGGCTTGGTGCTGTGAGCACTGCCCTGGGGAGCCTGTTGCAGGGCCCAAGCACCCTCTGGGTGAAAAACTTTTTCCTGATATCCAAACTAAACCTCCCCTAACACAGCTTCAGGCCATTCCCTTGGATCCCTTCTCTGGTCAGCAGAGAGAAGAGATCAGATTCCACCCCTCTGCTTCCCTTCATGAGGGAGCTTTAGACTACTGTGTTCAGAACAAACAGATTTCCATATGACATTGCTCCTCCAGTTGGACTTGACTGTGGTAGACAATCTTTAAAAAACTGAGGGTTTTTTAAAGAAAAAAGGTGACATGAGGGGTAGAGTTATTTCAAATGTGGGATTTTCAGTGAGTAAATTGCCTTTAAGAACAGAAATTTCATGCTGGCATACACTTGAGAGATTTAGAAATCCAGGTCAGTAATCCTCAAAAACATCCTTTTGGTAAACAATAAAGGCATGAGCTTGTTTGTCAGCAAGCACAGGGACCAACAGCAAGGCTATCAAAATAGGAATGTGTCAGTCTGGTTGCAGCAAATAACACAGGGAAATGGAATTTGGGCAGCTAAAAATAACTGTTGGCACGCTGGCTGGGCTCTTACGAGTGAGTCCAACTACAAGCCAGCGAGCATTTATTGGATGATAAACAGCAAAATACTCCTATTATAGTCACAGTTTGGGATGCAGCTGACAGAACAGAGGCACAGGCTGTGGGGCTGCAGTGGCTTTTCCAGGACCAGCAGCCAGGTTGCTGTTCAGGTGTCCTCCAAGCTGGGGAGCTGGGCAGGCTCCACACAACCACCTGCTGCACGACAGCTGATCAGCTGTTTCCAAAAAAACCTCCCTTTTCCCTTTGAAATTGAGATTCATTTTCTAGGAATAGTGCAGCAGCTTGCTCTGTGGAACACACTGAGGGGCTCCCAAAACATGTGCCACCACAGCCAGCATCATCTCAAAGAGGAACTGTGGCTGCAGGTCCAGGTGAGAAACCTTTACTCTGTTCAGGATTGCCTTGGCCTCAGGACCCCCTCAGGATGGGCAGGATGTGAGAGCTGCAGGCACTGGGCTGGTGTGGCTACAGAAAGGGGGGGAAATTCAGCCACCAGGGTCTCACAACCAGGACTGCTTGGGGAACTTGCCCCAGGGCTCGTGGCTTGGCAAAGCTAGAGAAGGCACAGGCTTTCCTTAGTAACCAAATGCCTCAAAGGAAAACAAAATGCTTCTCATAAAGGTGGTGGCATAGAGAGTTCAGGAATTTCATTAGGAGTTACATCAGTGCTCCTTTAGCACTTTGCCTGCCTGTGCTTCACACCAGAGAGGAGAAGCTCAGGCCTCCTGGGGAAGGAGGCCAGGCAGAGAAAACCTCCCACAGGCATTAAACTCACCCCACAAGCATATGGGATCCCTGGCTTTCTAGGACACCAGGTCTCAAAGGTTTGGACCAGGAAATTGACTCAGGATGATATCCAGACTTTATTAAACCATAGGGACAGAGACAAGTTTCAGCAGAAGATGTTAAAATATTAAAGGAAATGATAATGCAGATGCACACCCCTGAGAAATCTTACCCCATCTGCCACTGTCTTCTAATCAGCCTTTCAGGTGGTTTAATTCCTCACTGTTTACACCTGCAGAGGGAGCAGATTTGTTAAATCATCCCACCTGGTAGAAGGCTTGTCCTGCTAGCAAGCACAGAGCTCAAGGCAGCTGCCAGACCCTTCACTTTACATGTGAGATAGTTGTACAAAGATTTTCCTTTAGACTCAGCATTGCTACCAATTGCAACCAATACAGAGATGGATATTTAGTGACTTATATTTGATTTATGGGCAGGTCCAGGGAGCAGGAAAAGAACATCATCCAATGAGAGAAATGAAGAAAAAAACCCCTAAAACCAAGCAGGGTTCATCTCGTGCTTACCAGCAAATCTCCATATTTCAAGCAGAGGAATTTCAGGTAATTAGTTTAAGTCCTGGTTTGTTGCTGGATGGTGCTTGGGAAAGGCAAGTTTGTGTTCAGTTTTCCTTAAGGCTAAATTTGTTTGGAAGCTCATTTATACCTGTCTTCAGGCTCTTTTTAGGGAAGTCTTTCAAAATGTTGATAATACAAGTATAACAGTCATCACCTACAGCAGTGTCTCATCTATTTTAAGAGCTTTGTCTAAGTATGGGTTGCTGGATTTGACTCATAGGTTAGAGTACATCTGCACTAGCAAGAATAGTAGGAATAAATTTGTAGGTCATGGTATCTGGTGCTGTGGACCTGATGTCCATGTCATATTTTAGGATTTTCTTTGAACCAGTTGTAGTCTGGTCACCTAGGCTGAGTGCCAATCAGTGGTTAGGTTTGTTTAATTAATGCATTTAATTGAATCTGCAAAGTGTCCATTCCTTCTTGCAGAGTGCTCTGTGAAGTTAATTGTAGGCAGTGGTAACAGCTGAGTTGTTTTGGAGCTGTACTCCTGATCTTAAACAAAACTTCGGTGTTGAAAACATCTTTTGGGCCTTGGCATATTCCAGTGTGCTTGTAACAACTCACTGCAAGGACAGAAAAGTAGGGTATTTTTAGTACCCAGCCCCAAATGACAATTGCTGTTTGACATAAAGGCCTCCCCTGCATTTTCACAAGACTCGGTGTCTTTAATTCTGGCCCTCATCTTCCTCTTTAACCACCACACTGCTACATAGCATCCCCTCAACCCTTTTGTTAAAACCTAAAGAAATCACAGTTTAAAAGGCTTGTTTCCTTCAAATCGGTTGAGATAAATATGGAAGTATTTTTAGGTGGGCACTGTCTGAGGGAGCCATGTCACCAACACTGAGGCCAGCAATTATGCAATTGTGACTTGGAGAAGTATTGTGGAAACAAACTGGAGCTGCTGGAGTGGGT